CTCTGTCTGTCTTTCTCTCTCTGTCCTTTCTCTCTAAATGCAATCTATCTCTCTCTCTGTCTGTCTGTCTCTCTCTCTGTCTGTCTCTCTCTCCCTCTCTGTCTCTCCCTCTGTCTGTCTTTCTCTCTCTCTCTGTCTGTCTGTCTCTCCCTCTGTCTGTCTTTCTCTCTCTCTGTCTGTCTCCCTCTCTCTCTGTCTGTCTTTCTCTCTCTCTGTCTGTCTGCCTCTCTCTCTGTCTGTCTATCTCTCTCTCTGTCTGTCTGTCTCTCCCTCTGTCTGTCTTTCTCTCTCTCTCTGTCTGTCTGTCTCTCCCTCTGTCTGTCTTTCTCTCTCTCTGTCTGTCTGCCTCTCTCTCTGTCTGTCTGTCTCCCTCCCTCTGTCTGTCTGTCTGTTATAATACAATTCATTGTTACACCCGTTTTGCTCTTTGCGCGGTATGTACAGACATGGTGAATTCCATTCAGCGCCTGCATTTCTCGGGGTACACTCTGAAAGCCGCCATGATACCGTCATACAATCCACACAGAGAGGTGGAGACAAAGTGTCGCAGGCAGTCAGTGCGTCAGGTGACAGAGGTATTAATATTGCGCTCCGCCAGGTTCGACGACCAATCAGCTGGCTGACATCACTCACCTGACGGATCCAATCTTCACCTGAAATAATAATAAACCCAGCAAGGTCGACCTTGTCGTCCAAGTGTCTGATTCCCATACAAAGAGTGAGGGTGGAAGGTGAGGGGGGGGGAGGAGGGAGAGGGGGGCGACGCTATGGGACTCCCAGCCAGCTGCACGTTGCGACAGTTGATTTATATTTTCTTTTTTTAGCAATGATGCTGTTTTTTTTTCCTGCAAAAACAAAGTGTTTTTAACTAAATCATGGTTCAATCTAACAGCATTTATCATGAGACCATCCCTCCACTGTTTAATAATGTCAGCATGGCAACTGGGGTCATAATTACTGATCCCCAAACATCAGTGTTCCCCAACAACATTGTCAGGCAAAAAGGTGGGTTTTCTAAGACGTGTTTCCCCATTTCTTCATGTGTTTGCTCACAATGACTATCAAATATTATTATTTAATTGTGTCCTGTGTCTGTCAAAGCAGTAAAGGCAGTCATATTGAAAGGGTAGTAGATACCTGGAATAGCCTTCCAGTGGGAGCAGTAACAGTGATATCGAAAGGGTAGTAGATACCTGAAATAGCCTTCCAGTGGGAGCAGTAACAGTGATATAGAAAGGGTAGTAGATACCTGGAATAGCCTTCCAGTGGGAGCAGTAACAGTGATATAGAAAGGGTAGTAGATACCTGGAATAGCCTTCCAGTGGGAGCAGTAACAGTGATATAGAAAGGGTAGTAGATACCTGGAATAGCCTTCCAGTGGGAGCAGTAACAGTGATATGGAAAGGGTAGTAGATACCTGGAATAGCCTTCCAGTGGGAGCAGTAACAGTGATATAGAAAGGGTAGTAGATACCTGGAATAGCCTTCCAGTGGGAGCAGTAACAGTGATATAGAAAGGGTAGTAGATACCTGGAATAGCCTTCCAGTGGGAGCAGTAACAGTGATATAGAAAGGGTAGTAGATACCTGGAATAGCCTTCCAGTGGGAGCAGTAACAGTGATATAGAAAGGGTAGTAGATACCTGGAATAGCCTTCCAGTGGGAGCAGTAACAGTGACATAGAAAGGGTAGTAGATACCTGGAATAGCCTTCCAGTGGGAGCAGTAACAGTGATATAGAAAGGGTAGTAGATACCTGGAATAGCCTTCCAGTGGGAGCAGTAACAGTGATATAGAAAGGGCAGTAGATACCTGGAATAACCTTCCAGTGGAAGCAGTAACAGTGATATAGAAAGGGCAGTAGATACCTGGAATAGCCTCCCAGTGGGAGCAGTAACAGTGATATAGAAAGGGTAGTAGATACCTGGAATAGCCTTCCAGTGGGAGCAGTAACAGTGATATAGAAAGGGTAGTAGATACATGGAATAGCCTTCCAGTGGGAGCAGTAACAGTGATATAGAAAAGGTAGTAGATACCTGGAATAGCCTTCCAGTGGGAGCAGTAACAGTGATATAGAAAGGGTAGTAGATACCTGGAATAGCCTTCCAGTGGGAGCAGTAACAGTGATATAGAAAGGGTAGTAGATACATGGAATATCCTTCCAGTGGGAGCGGTAACAGTGATACAGAAAGGGTAGTAGATACATGGAATAGCCTTCCAGTGGGAGCGGTAACAGTGATACAGAAAGGGTAGTAGATACCTGGAATAGCCTTCCAGTGGGAGCGGTAACAGTGATACAGAAAGGGTAGTAGATACCTGGAATAGCCTTCCAGTGGGAGCGGTAACAGTGATACAGAAAGGGTAGTAGATACCTGGAATAGCCTTCCAGTGGGAGCAGTAACAGTGATACAGAAAGGGTAGTAGATACCTGGAATAGCCTTCCAGTGGGAGCAGTAACAGTGATATAGAAAGGGTAGTAGATACCTGGAATAGCCTTCCAGTGGCAGCGGTAACAGTGATATAGAAAGGGTAGTAGATACCTGGAATAGCCTTCCAGTGGGAGCGGTAACAGTGATATAGAAAGGGTAGTAGATACCTGGAATAGCCTTCCAGTGGGAGCGGTAACTGTGATATAGAAAGGGTAGTAGATACATGGAATAGCCTTCCAGAGGGAGCGGTAACAGTGATATAGAAAGGGTAGTAGATACCTGGAATAGCCTTCCAGTGGGAGCGGTAACAGTGATATAGAAAGGGTAGTAGTACCTGGAATAGCCTTCCAGTGGGAGCAGTAACTGTGATATAGAAAGGGTAGTAGATACATGGAATAGCCTTCCAGTGGGAGCAGTAACAGTGATATAGAAAGGGTAGTAGATACATGGAATATGTACATTTGTGACATGTTTGTGACATTATATGAGGGGATAAATATTATTTTGTGACAAGGCGCAGCCAGAGAGTTTTGACATATTTGCAGAGAATTTGCAGTGTCTCCTTCACAAGCGCTGCAGATGTCCAACAGTCGCCCATTATCTAGACCATTTCCTGTTGATCGAGAAAGCTGACATGACACCATCTGGCATCAGAGAGACTAATACTCTGTCCAACAATCTTGGCGTTTCAGTATCTGTTAATGCAGAGGGTCCCCTTAATGGAATCACCTCGCTAGGAGTTCCCTTGAACACCATGACAATCAAGTCTACCCATGGGAAAAGTTCTGCTTACCCAGGACACCATCAGGGCATGCTTATTGCTGTGTTCTTGCACACAGAAAGGGTTACCATCGTGGCTGAGCACACTGAACTTTGCCATGCCGGGCCTCCCAGATGATTACATTAGGGTAATATTGGGCGAGGGTGCTAGGAGTGACCTTAAAATGTGACAAAGATTTCTGGAAGCCTGGAATGGTACGGCTATCAAAATTTATGGCAGAGCATTCTGAATATTGAACCACTTTGCCTAAGAGTTTCACACACCTGAGATTTCTGCCCTAGACATAATAACTGTGTTTATCCTTTGCCAACTCAGCTTAAAGTTCTTCTACAATATTATTAAACTTTACTTAACGGGCATACAACACCATAACTTTACAAACATCCCTAGTAACAAAGTATTTGTGTTACAGTCACAAGTCTATTAAGAGGCATAGAAAGGTTAGACATACCAGACTTTCCGAAATGGCTATCAATCGACGGCCCCAGGTTCAGAGCTCTTCCAGATATTTTTGACACCGGTCTGTTTGATAAAGTCACAAAACACCGTCATTAAGACTGCCAAATATCTAGCTCATTGCGGTTAGACCAAAAGCGTTAACAGTAGCCAGTAATTCAGACCCGACCAAATGCAAGATAGAAGATTTCAATGGACGAGAAGACCATTTTGTGCTATTACTCAAACAGACTAAACCTGGTCTAACGGAACACGAAATATAGATAATAGCCTATCCAACCTATAATAAATGATGTCCAGGTTGAATTTTGAGTGAAATACCTTTTTCCCCCTAATTTTCTCCAGGCCGACCACAACCGACATTCTTCTATCTTAAATTACATATTAATCCTCTTATCATAATTAGATTGTGTGACAAACTCCCCTTTCCAAGTGAGTTTGCCACGAGTTCCTGGAGGAGCCTGCTTGCCAGCCTCCTGCCCACAGAGTATGGACCCTGTAAAATGTAATGTAAAAGTCTCAGTTCGTATATATTTGGACTATATGGTTCGGGAACCAAACAGTCGCATGAACTGGAGACCACTCTGGAGCTTGTTAAGTCTAATTGATACTTTGTAGCAATTTCCTTGCAGTGTTCTAAGTGTTCATCTGGGTGGCCGCAATTCCTATGGATGACCACGAGGTGGCGGCCATCTTGTTCGCATGAATGCAGGCAGCGGTGTTTGGCCATCGAGTTCATGGAACTATTTTTGGACACTACAACACTTAGAAAGACACTGTTTGGTGGAAACGTTCCACGAACAAGGAAAACAAGCTCCAGGGTAAGAACATTGACTGTGTTTGGTAGTTTGTTTGGTTTTTAAACTACCGAACTAGACCGACCGCAAGCCGTGATTCTCTGGAACTGTTTTGGTCATGGGACCATTTGTGCGGTCGGTCAAATTATGACTTCCAGGAAATTCTTGAACCCCTGAACCGATCTGGGTGATTTTTGGATATGTTGGTCAGCCAGATCGGGGCTATCAGGGGTTTTATGTGTTTAAATATATTTTGGGGGTTTTGTAAAAATGTATGTTTTCTGTGCCTGGAGATAATGAAGTTAACTACAGTGGATGACTCAATTATCTCCCAGGCACAGGGGAGGGATTGTCTTATTATGTATGGGAGTGTTCTGGATCTGAGAGCCAATGTAATTGTGTATTTGTTTCTACTGTGGTTTACTCTCAGGTCCAGGGGGGGAGTGCCCCTTGCATGGGGACATGCATATAAGGCTAGTTGTGGCTACCATTAAACAAGTTCCTGCTTACCCTCAACATAGAGTCTCATCTCATGTGTGGGGGAAACGGCTGTATCTACCCTGGGGATTGCTATATCACTATACTCCCCTGGGATTATAATCACTTGCTTTTTAAAGAGCATATTGCTACACTCTCTTGGAGGAGAGGTCTACCCACTGGAAGCTGGATGCTGGTCTTGGGCCTAGGGTGGGTGGAGGACAGCGAGACCCCAGCCAAGCTGTAACACTGGAAGTGGGGACTACAGTGCTGATGGTGTCTGGTGCGGTGCTTGGAAGTACTCAGAGGTACTAGGAAGCAGTGATTGGCGGAGGCACCCAGTCGGAGTGCCAGGTGGTCCGTCACAGATCACTATTGTAACCAATCACAAATATATATTATATTAGGGTATGCACCCATAGAAAATGACCATTTAAACATTATTAAAAATATACAGCTGTAGCAAAAATATACATTTTGTGCATCAGTGATAATGTCTATACAGGGGTCTTCTTCAATGAAATGATAAGCTAATCCAAACTCACACAGACGTTCCCACTGAGACCTAAACAAGGGACAGGGAGAAACAAAAGTACATATATATGTATTTATACACCCCACTGTAAGGGTATTCAATATCACGTAACGCATTTTTTCCAGCAGGCACAGATTATCACCTCCTTTTGTAACACAGGTCCTCGTCTTCCACTCGTTGCATTGACAGGCTGCCCCTCTCATTGCCGCTTTGCATGGAGCATCTCCCTAGCTGTCTCCAGTGCCCGACTAGCCCAACAGGTAACCGGCCAGCTGGCTGCTTATTAGGTTCTCTCACTCCACTGCTCGGAGTCAGGGAGGAGCGAGGAGTGATGGCGTATCGCTGCTCCTTGCTCTACAGAGAGCTATAGAGTCCGCAGGGAAATATGTCATATCCCGGCGGCCACACTCTCTGAAAGACTCTAGTAAATTGAAGGGAACATGCTGTAAGTGTTTGTATGTTTCAGCAAAGTTTAATGTGTGTCAGTGTCTTCGTGGGTCTGTGTGTGCATAGATCACTAAGTGTGTGTGTATTTCTGTATGGGTCACTGTGTGTGTGTTTGTTTCTGTATGGGTCACTGTGTGTGTGTGTGTGTGTGTTTCTGTATGGGTCACTGAGTGTGTGTGTTTCTCTATGGGTCACTGAATGTGTGTGTTTCTGTTTGGGTCACTGGGTGTGTGTGTTTCTGTATGGGTCACTCAGTGTCTGTGCGTGTGTGTTTCTGTACGGGTCACTGTGTGTGTGTTTCATTATGGGTCATTGTGCATGTGTATTTCTGTATGGGTCACTGTGCATGTGCTTTTCTGTATGGGTCACTGTGTGTGTATTTCTGTATGGGTCACTGAGTGTGTGTGTGTGTGTTTCTGTATGGGTCACTGAGTGAGTGTGTGTCTGTGTGTGTTTCTGTATGGGTCACTGAGTGTGTGTATCTGTATGGGTCACTGAGTGTATGTGTTTCTGTATAGATCACTGAGTGTGTGTGTAAATCTGTATTGGTCACTGAGAGTGTGTGTGTTTCTGTATAGAACACTGCGTGTGTGTGTATCTGTATAGATCACTGAGTGTGTGTTTCTGTATAGAACACTGAGTGTGTTTGTATCTGTATAGATCACTGAGTGTGTGTTTCTGTATAGGTCACAGAGTGCGTGTATTTCCTCACGGGTCACTGAGTGTGTGTATTTCTGTATAGGTCACAGAGTGCGTGTATTTCCTCATGGGTCACTGAGTGTGTGTATTTCTGTATAGGTCACAGAGTGCGTGTATTTCCTCACGGGTCACTGAGTGTGTGTATTTCTGTACGGGTCACTGAGTGTGTGTGTATCTGTGTGGGTCACTGAGTGTGTTTATGGGTCACTGAGTGTACGTGTTTCTGTATGGGTCAGTGTGTGTGTATTTCTGTATGGGTCACAGAGTGTGTGTATTTCCTCATGGGTCACTGAGTGTGTGTATTTCTGTATGGGTCAGTGTGTGTGTATTTCTGTATGGGTCACTGAGTGTGTGTGTATCTGGGTGGGTCACTGAGTGTGTTTATGGGTCACTGAGTGTGCGTGTGCTTGTGTGTACAGGTCACTGAGTCCATGTGAGTGAGTATGTGTATCTGCATGGGTCAGTGTGGATTTGTGCACTAATATGGGTCAATGAAAAGGACAAAGTTTATTTTAAAAAATATTCAAAACTCAATGTATTTGATTTCAGAGAGTAATATCTATATCTACATATTTATGCATGTATTTTATATAGTAAGCTTAATTTTTATATACCGTTATGTCTATAATAAATACAAAAAAATCAATATAATACACCCCACCCGGGGGGGGGGGGATTTCATCCTTGGAGCCAGGCAGCACAATGTGCTGGGGCGGCCCTGCCTATCACTCCCTGACCAAGCCAATGGCAAGCCTGCAGGGTCCATAGGCCATTAGCCAATGGTGAATTTCTCCTTGCCAGGCCTGATTTACACTCGCCAATGGCTATGGGGCGAGTGGAAATTTCCAGCCCCTCGTATATATAAATCTTGGATTATTTCCAAGTCTATTTTGAGTGCTAAAAACATTATATAATAGGTGCATGTGTGTTTTCACGTAATAAAGGTAAAGGGAGAGATATGGTTTAATCATTTATGACGTATGAGGTTAATCAGTTACTAGATGTCAATGCCTCTATATAAAGCCCGGCAGTGTACCCAGAACTCTGCCACTGGATACCCCAAATATCGCCACTATGAAGGCTTTCCTCAGTCTCATCCTCCTCGCTCTCTGCGTGGGAATCAAGGCTAAGGTGTTCACAAAATGTGAGCTGGCTTCTACTTTGAAGAAGGCTGGAATGGATGGCTATAACGGATACAGCCTGGCCAACTGTGAGTATTTACATCTCAGGTGCCATCTCCTCCCCCCAAAAATCCAGTTCTCTGTTTGATCACTGGTACGGAGCATTCAGGATGAAGACATTGTCTGTCACTGGCTACAAAGTTTCATCAAAGTACGATTACCACGTAGCAAGATGACAGAAAACAAAAAACAAAACCCACTTTTGGAATCAGAATATGCACCCCTTGTGGAAAGGCGTCTGTAAGCAGCTGCCTAGTCTAATTTTTAGTAAATCCAGCCCTGCATTCCAGACATCCAGACTTCGCATCCTTTTAAATTTGATATAAATTTGTAATAAATTTACTCAGCATTAACACCCTCCCCCCTCCCCCCCCACAACATACCAAGGACAGAACGGGAAAAGTATAAATGAGTGTGTTTATGGGAACTTTTTTTACCAGAGTGTGCAACATTCGCCCAGAGTTTTTGTATAAGACTGGCCGACTAATGCCTGGTATTAGTAACTGGAAGGCGAATGATGGGATTTCCCACGTACAGTATTTGAATTCTACTACACACGTCAGAGTAGCACTTTTCCTGTGCAGCCCCTCAGTCAGTATTTATCCAGCAGAATAGGGTGTGTCCCTAGGTGGCTTTCCTATTAATGTTAAAAGTGAGTCTGCCTGATCAGCCTGCGTTCTGCCGGGCAGAGTCTGGTTATACGGTCTGTTATTACGTACAGCCCATGTGATCTCAGGGTTAAACCTCTTCATTTACTGCCATTTATTTTTTTAGTGAGGACCTGGCGTAGTGTGTATGTATAGGGGGTATAGTGTGTAGGTGCAGGGGGTGTAGTGAGCATGTATAGGGGTATAGTGTGTAGGTGCAGGAGGGGTAGTGTGTATATAGAGAGTGTCTATAGGGGGTGTAAGTGGTGGGGTATAGTTTATGTATATAAGGGCTGGATAGGGTTAAATAATCAATTTGCCAATTTCATTATTTAAATTATTATTATTATTTTTTTTTTTTTAAACCTACACATTTAGTCCCCTTTCCCCTTATTACCTTGCAGGGGGAGAGGGAGCATGCTGATGATCATCCCTGGTGATACAGTGGGCTTGTGATGTGGTCTGTACCTCCACAGGGTACAGAACATGCCTTTCTCTCGCGAGAGCTGGAGTTTCAGAACATTGCCACGGGTTACCAGAGGGTTGCCCTGCGTGTTGCCTGGAGGCTCTTTGCTCCATAACCAAATTCATTTTTTCGGACGATGAGGGAACGGAGCTGTTCAGACCCTCTCCTGGGGGCCAAGCTGTTATGCAAGGGCCAGCAGGGGAGATTTTTTGATCTCCCTTGCCAGCCTAAGCCCATGGCCATCACGGCCCACCGGACATTTGCCTGGTTTGCCCGATGGCCAGTCCGGGCCTGGCTGTTATGGTATTTGGTTTTCTTTTGACATAAATTAGGGGAACAAACATATATTGCAGGCTGGGCCTACAGCATGTGAGACAGAATGCACGATCTATGTTTCTTGCGAAAGAAAATCCAATTACAACAAATAAGCTGTGTTAAGGAAATAACCCAAGTTCCTTTATTTCTACATGAACTGATCGATTGATTAATCAGGGATGTGCTTGTCTTACTACGAAAGCAAGTACACCACGAACGCCCTCTACGATAACGGCTGGAGCCGCGACTATGGGATTTTCCAGATTAACAGCTACTGGTGGTGCAACGATGGCAAGACCTCCGGCGCTGTGTCAGCGTGTAGCATTAACTGTTCCAGTGAGTATTTTCACCATTATAATCACGAGATCTCTCTCACTAATGGTGTTTCACTAATGTGTGAATTGTTGGAATTCTAAAGTAATTCAAAGTAAACTGAAAAAAATTGAAAACCTCTCTGTCTTGGAGAATATTTCAGATTTGGCTAATTGGACTTGAAATGTTTAATTCACTTTGCATTCCTGCAAACTTAATAAATAACCTCATCTTTCATTCCCGTGGTGATTACTGGAACAATTTACTGACGTCTTATCGTACCTTTCATTCCTCAAGGTCTGATGGACGACAACATCTCTGATGACATCACATGCGCCAAGAGAGTTGTCCGCGATCCCAACGGCATGGGTGCATGGTAAGGGAATGGCGATAAAGAGATCGCTGACATACATTGATACCTCTGGTATAATAGGACAGACAATCACCAAGAAATAATCTCAATTAAAAAATAGGTGGAGCGCTTAGTGGTACTTAACATGCAAACGTTGATTACCCCTTTAAATCAAGTATGGAGGGTCTGGTGTACTGGAATATATAAAGGGGGAATAAAACACAGAAGAAAATACTAGTGCTTATATATTTATAGTGTACTTATAGCATACATGTAACATACAAACACAGACACAACTTATAGCATACATGTAACATACAAACACAGACACACCGTATAGCATACATGTAACATACAAACACAGACACACCGTAACATACAAACATAGACACACCGTATAGCATACATGTAACATACAAACATAGACACACCGTATAGCATACATGTAACATACAAACACAGACACACCGTATAGCATACATGTAACATACAAACATAGACACACCGTATAGCATACATGTAACATACAAACACAGACACACCGTATAGCATACATGTAACATACAAACACAGACACACCGTATGGCATAGTTGGTTATTTTACTTTATGCCAGTATTGAATGAATTGTAACAGACTGAGAACGCACAATTCGGAATAAGAAGTCAAGCTGTGATAATAGGTGAAAAAGATTGAAAAAAAAATATTTAGAATTGCTTCAGCTTGTTAAGCTTTGTTCCTGAATGTAGGACGGACGAGGTTATTGCAGGAAAGATCATTCTGTTTTCTTCATTGTGGGAATACTTGATGGGACTTGTCTCATGTAATGATGTTACTATGTAACTATATAATATTCAGTACTTCTTTATTCTGTATAAAAATGATTGAGAACAATAACCTGTAATTTAACGTGTTTTGTATTTTATTTTTAGGGTTGCATGGAACAACTACTGCAAGAACAAAGATGTGAGCAGCTTCGTCAGTGGATGTGCCTTGTAAGAAGAAGTGTGGACCCCATTCGTTATCCAGCAGGTGGCGCTGAAACCCAGTACATTTTCCAGCAAATGTTTATGTAGCACAAACACTGAAAATAAATCCGATAAACATTAAAGAGTTTTTCATTTGTTGAATGGGAATGATCTGCCTGATGGGCGATAAAAGGGGGAGTGGTCCTTTAGACGGCAGTGGCACTGTGAGAGTAAAGAAATGTCCCCCTAGATTCTAGGTACTGATTTATACCCCCAGATAGGGGCCTGTGGGGTCGCAAACCGGGACGTGTTGTAATGCCAACCATTGGCACAGGGTGAGGATAACCAAAGAGTGTCTCGAAAATTACAAGACATAGTCAAGTGACTGCAAAAATACCAACAAAACAAGAACCAAACAAACGTTATGTATGATCATCCCAACATTACATAACACATGGAGGCTACAAAGTTACATTAAAGGTGAAATGTATCTGTAAAATTACAATGAATGCAAAGTGCATGTCGTGAACCCCGTAAATAGAAAAGGAAACAATGCATGCAGCTTGAGAGACCTTATATCGCCTAGTGAACCCCCAGAATTTTCATAAGAGGAAATTTATGATAAGTCGGCCAACAAACTCTACAGTCTTTGAGGGAACCCCTGAAAGCAAACAGCACCCCTACTATCACCTTCAAGAATGTTACAGTTTGTTACCCCATTCCACATAATATAACAGCATATGCATTTCTACTTCCCGTCTCTCCTGCTAAACCTGTCCAGTGTTATATAACTGGTGCATGACTCGGCGTACAGGAGATGGTTTAAATGCTGCCAAATAATGAGTGAAAATATAAAGAGTTAAACAGGAGATCTAAAGAATATGACCAGGTGTTTGCCTTATAGTGTCCTAAAAACAAAGACCATAAAGCCAGATTTATTGATATGTTAACATAATATAAGAGCGATGGCTAACCTCAGCACCGCATATGTTTCCATAATTCATTTCTCATCATGTTCAGATAGTTTTTAAGCTGGGGCAGCACAATTTCTCATGTCTATTATAAACATTTTATCATCTAATAATTCAGTGAACTTTCTGAAGAAAATCCACATTATGGTAAGGTCCGGCATGTTGATGGATGTAGAGATGGCTTATTACGGGAGACAGGAGATGTTTGAGGAGATCAGAGACCATTTTGAGTGTTTGGTGGTCATCACTCATGATTTCAAGGAGAAGCCGCTAAGTTAAAGGAAAATACGAGTCAGACTCGAGTCTGTGTCACACAATATATCAATAAGAAATTGCTGTCCTGTTACCAAAGTGATGATAATTGTTTTTACCTCTTCCTTAACTTTATTTTCAACAAATTGTTTGTCATTGGTGCACATAGCCCAATGAACATGGCTGCTAGTGCTTGTTTGACCTTCCTGATCCTCAGGCTGTAAATGATAGGGTTAAGCTTGGGGGTAAATATGGAATAAATCATAGACCCTATGAAGTCTAGCTTCCGCCAGGAATTGGGCAAGAGATACATGAAGGTGAGTGACCCATAGTACAGGATGACCACCGTGATATGGGAAGCACAGGTGGAGAAAGACTTATGTTGGCTGTTCTGGCGTGGGATCCTCAGGATGGCAGAGACTATAAAAATATAGGAAGTTAAAATAAAAATAAGGCAGCTCACCCCAAATACGGCAGCGGAGGCAGTGACAAATATGTCATTAAGCGAAGTGTCTGCACAGGAGAGCCGAATTAAGGGCTGGACCTCGCAGTACAAGCGGTCTGTTGCATTGACACTGCAGAACATGAGACTGGCTGTGAGAGGGGTGTTGATAGTTGAGTTAAGAAGCCCACTTAGCAAGGCAAATGCTGATAGATAGTTGCATACTGCCCCATTAATAATTGTCGTGTAGCGTAAAGGTTGGCAGATGGCCACATAGCGGTCACAAGCCATGGCGGCCAGAAGGATGCATTCTGCAGTGGCACAAAAAGTGAAAAGATAGACCTGGGTCATACAGCCAGCACAGGAGATAACAATACTGTTTTGTAAGATGTCTGACAGTATGTTGGGTATTGTGATAGACGTGTAACAGATCTCCAGCCAAGAAAGGTTCCCCAAAAAGAAATACATAGGACTATGCAGCTCCACATTAACTTTAATGGCTAAAATAATTAAACTGTTACCTATCAAGGTCATGAGAAAGATGATCAAGAAGACAATAAACATCTCACATTTCCAGTTTGAGATATGTAGAAACCCCAGAAGGATAAATTCATTCACTTCCGTCTGATTATTCTCCCATCGATCACCACGAACCAAGTCCATCACACTAATAACGGACTTTAAGATTTAAAAGGTTAGCAGTTCACAAAAGTCCACAGAAATAAAGAGAACAAATGACAGTGTAAACTCCACAAAGCGTTGGTAGAATCATGGTCAAGGTCAATGTGCGATGTAGATATTCTATGTGTGTCCTACATAGTCTAGGCAAGTTAAAGGAACACTTGAAACACTCTTTTTTATTTTACAAAAAGTGCAGATTTCAATAAAGAAAGAATAGGAACAGATATTTATGACTATGGGTTGTCTTAAAAGGACCAAGGAACGCAAGAAAAGAAGGTGAAAATAAATAGGTCCTAGGAAATGTAAAATATCTCATTTAGCTATAAATCAACACTCACTAACAACCAGTTCGCTGGGCTAGATGGAGATCTTTAAATTTCTTGTCATTAGAAATCTTGTTATGATATTCTATACAAATAAACTGCTCTCTGGAGATCTCCTAGGGAGCCACAGGCTCTGCATGGGGTCTGTCACATTGTACAGCACTGCAGAATATGTTGGTGAAATATTAATTATAATTGTAGCATGAACACACGGGTCTGCTCACAGCAAAGTGACTAAAAAAAATCTCCACTGTAGCCAAGTTGGGAGACATAATGGTTAAAACTTTGCAAATTGGTTCTCAAGTCACTGACCAAATGCTTGTCCGACTTACGTTATTGGTCCACTCACATTAAAAGCTGGAGAGTTTGCCGAGGAAATGACATGGTTTATGTACATTATGGGGACATTCTCAGGAGATAGGAGAATCCCGTTGGAATATCTTACAAACAGATCTTTAACTCTGTCCTCATATCACACCTTTTATATCTTTACGTAATTTGTCTCCACTCAAAATGTTTTTTATTTTAGGCAGCAACTAATCTAATTCAAATAAAAATATATAATCAAGAAGAGGAAAATAAACAAAAAAATACAAAAAACAGGGAGAAGGGTTGGGACTAAGAGGGACGGCAGCTGTTAGGATAATACCGCTAACCTAGACATGCAGTTAAATATACAGAAAAAGGGACTGTACTATCTCTAAAATAGGAATAACCTCTGCTGATAAATATATATGGACAAATGAACCGAATACCACAACTACCTACAAAATATCAAATTCAGTATATAATAATGATAACAACCAACCATATAAGTTATAAATATAATTTATTGATCTTAATGTGTATAAAGGCTATTGTCTATAGCAGTGGTCCCCAAACCAGTCATGACCCATCAACAGTCCAGTATTTGTGTATTTCCCTTTCTTATTCAAACGGAGATACTGCCAAAACCAGGACTGTTGGTGGTCCATGAGGTCTAGGTTGGGGACCCCTAAACTATAACACAATTCTTATGATCAGAATTTCTATTGATATGCCAAACATATATAAAATCCCATAAAACTATAAGAAAAAATTCTAGAACTTCCATTGTCTTCTGTTTGGCTTTCCAGCAGTTTTCCGAATGTGAAAAATCACTTTACTTCCTCTTGGTGAGTAAAGTAGGGTGGTGAGAGTGTTTTTTTCAGTAGCAACCATTTCTCAAATGCGAAATACCCAAGACATAACCTCAATAGGGGAAAATAGAAGATCTAGAAGACTTGGCACAAAATTTGGACATCATTATTAAATTGGCAGATAAGGAATGTGAAGAGACCAATCTCGCCACATTGTATTGGAGAAGCCTGGTTGCTCGCCTGCTGCCTTTGGACTATGGCCCCCTGTTAAAAGACATCTTTTTCTCTGCAGAAAAGACTTATTCGTGCTTTTCTGCCTGGTGTTCGGTAGATTCAATCTACCGAACAACCGCACGAATGACTAGACCACCTGGGAGCTGGAGTGTGCCGGCAATTAGCCTCCCTGAAGCTGCGGTTAACCGCAGCTTAATTGACGAATGCTGGGTGGCCGCCATTCGTATCACGAACACGAGGTCGTGGCCATTTTAAACACGCGAACGCACAGCGGTGTTCGATGCTTAATTCATGGAACTAAAATCGGACACAGTTTTGCGCGAACACCGCTGAAGCCGCCGACCTCCCTTCTTGTTCGGTGAAAGTGCACGAACGGCCCGGTGTTCGGTAGTTTTGCTTGACTATGTTATACCCCAGATAGGAATCCCATGGAGCCCATTCACATGAGAACTGACTGTGTAAAGACTTTGGCTCCATGGCGATTAAACTGTATTCATGTGGTCTGAGCGCCATTCGCTTAATAATGTGCGCTCAGACCTGAGCTATCTGGGGATATGTTACATGTCTGTGTTTTATGTAATAAATGTTACTTTATGTATTTTAAAGTATAATACTGGTTTTGTATCCCCACATGTGTAATGGAGTTTTGCCTTTGTCTTGGGAGATAATTTAATTACCTCCCAATTATCTCCCAGGGCAGAGGGGAGGAAGCCAGGATGCATTGTGAGAATATATTGTGACTGTGTGTCCTATTTGTCTACTTGTCTGTCTTTTGTCACAGTCTCCCATTTGGTCCCCTAGGGGAGTGTCCACCAGGTGGGAGACCTGCATAAATACTGGGCAGGTAGCCCTCATTAAACAGACCACTGCTTGACCCGCAACACGGAGCCTTGTCTCGTCTTTGGGGGGATTTACTGAATGCTGATAGAGACTGATTGCCAGGAGTGTAAGCCGCTTAGATGCTTTTCCTATTCGTCTGCTAGCAGTGATTCGTATGGTTCCAGTTCGGGAGTTTGGAGTGCTATATTGTATGCAGTTCGGGAGTTTGGAGCATTCCCTTATTGGCGGTTCGTGAGTTTGGTGTTCTACAGTAGCTGTGCCTGCATCTCTGGAAAGGGGGCCGATTGCCTAAACGTTTTTTACCCCTTGTGTTACAAGGAAGGAGGTATTGTCATCCTCTCCATGGAAGACTAGCTTACATAAGCAAATAGATTATTATGGGATGAGGAGACATACAACATCCTCAGGTAAAACCCCTTCCAAAGAAATATCCAAGACTTTACAAGATGTCATCATAAAAAGCCAAAGAAGAGGGCATCTTAACTAAAAAATAATTGGATTTTTTTTAAGCATACAGCACCCTAAGACTTCAGTATTTTACTTCCTACCAAAAGTCCATAAGAATAAGACTGGAAGACCGATGGTGTCAGGTATCGACTCCATAACAGCACATGTATCAGAATATATAGATCCCTTTCTACAGCCCTACATCATCCAAGTTCCTTCCCACTTGAAAGATACCACTAGCATTAAAAACATTGTACAAAATTTCATATGGTCTTCAGAGCGCTGTTTAGTAGTGGCGAATGTGGCATCACTATATACTATAATAGATGAAGGATTTAATGCCATATACAATGCACTTCAATCTGCAAAACAAAAACTGTAAGAAACCCGGACAGTATTCATCTTACATGGAATAGAATTTAGACTGAACCACAACTACTTCTGGTTTGAACATAACTGCATACAAACAAGGAACGGCAATGGGGATGAAATTTGCCCCCAGCTCTGCAAATGTATTCATGGGTGAATGAGAAAAGGAATATATTGGAAATAATCATATATCTGGAAAGGAGTGATAGCTTTGAGGAATTCTTACAATACCGAAACTCAAACACTTTGGGGGTGCAACTAACGACTAAGTACAGCAAGACATCAGTAGAATTCCTAAACTTTATTATACATATGGAAAAAGAAAAATTGAAAATAAAGACCTTTTTTAAAAGAGGTGGATATAAACAGCTTCATCCTAAAGAAGAGATGTCACTACCCACTATGGCTTAACAATTTACCAAATAATGAATGAACTCTTTACATTATTGAACCTACCATCAATTTCTCACGTATCCTATAAGTGGGAATTGTACCACTGTACGCTATCCATACTAGAGCTGGACAAAGCTCTAGAAAACATGTGTAGGACCATATAGACTTTTTATTAAACACACATTTCTGGGATATATTACACCATTAGTCTCTCTTTGTTTTTATATACAAATTCCAAGATTTCTTCTGACCTCAACCTCCTGGCAGAAAAATACCCTCTGAAGAATACCAAAACCATTTCCCCTGGCAAGTTCATCTCCCTATATTGGATATTTTCTATAACATCCACTGTTTTTTAATTTTATTTTTATATTTATTTTTCTTTTTTCTTTATTATCCTGTTTATATATTTGCTATATCCTGTTGCAATCGTTTTTTTTGGGTTGCTTATATACACATTAGAATAATATTGTTTTGGCGCAACCTTTCCCATTATGTTTTTTTTACTATTGTATTTATTGTGTGAGACTAAGAGGGAGCCCTTCATCCTAAGGTGTGCAGCTTACCTATCTAACATTCGAAACTTTATTTGGTTGGTTGCTCAGCGCTGAACTTTTTGTCTGTATATCCTATCCTGATAGATCTTGCTACCTACCTCTAGCTAGATCTTGTGGTCTGGCACACATTGGGCAGTTGCAGCAGCCTACTTTTCATCCTGAGGGTACCCAGCAGCCGTCACAGGGGCATACAAGCACTGTTACCACTGGCTAGGGTCATCCCCGTCCTCCCACTGGAGGCTTCCCTGATGCCAAAGGATCGTGCGGTGACATAGCATGAGCGGAGAGACCATACGGCAATTTCTCCAAGACGGCGGGCGCCATGTCCA